AATCCTAGCTACTTGGGAGGCTGACACTGTGAGGATGATGGTTCGAGACCAGCCCAGGAAAAAAGTTAGCAAGACCTCATTTCTATCAATAAGCTGACGATGAAATCCCCTCATATTTATGTATTATAACTCAAAAGTAAAATAATTTAAATAAAGAAGCCAGTAAACTAGTTGTGGTGGAGCATTATCTGTGATCCCAGCTATGTGGGAGACTGTAGGCAGAAGGATCAGAGTCTGGGATTTTTGGAAATCATGAATGTCAAATTTTATTAAGATCTTTTCTGTACCCATTGTGTTTTGTTTTTTTCCTTGGTCCCAATACAATAATTTATTACCACTACTTTTTTTTCTTTAGACTCTCTTTCCCTATCTTTCTCTCAGGCAAGGTTGGATGATTCCCTTCCTGTCTGGCACTGTTCCTGTGTCCTGGGTCAGGGCTACTTGCCTACAAGGGGATAGCTCCCTACCTCTTGCACTTGCTGTCTTGGAGGACAGTCAGGCCCACTCTGATCTGCATTTCAGTAAGTCGGCCTCTAGGATGCTGTCCATTCTGAGATTTCACTTTACTGACAAGTTAGTCATAACATTTTTATGTTTTAAAGCTTTGTTTATAGATGTGTGCTCTTTATGAATCACATTTGTGCTCTGTCTTCATTGGTATTTCCAGAGATTTGTGTACTTCATTAGTCATTGCACACATTGTGTATGTTCTGTTGAATGTCTCAATTGATCCTTTTCAAAAATCTGTCTGCTTTTTTTCTGTTATTACCTTCTTTCTTTCTCAGGTTTATCCTGCTATTCTAGGTTTTCAAACTGTGTTCTTGGGTCAATGATGCTCACAAGTTATGTGGAGCATTCATGTTCAGACTCATACTTTCTAATCTCCATGCCATTTTTTTCATTGACTCATGAAGTATTTGGAAATTGACACTGTCTGGATCTTAAGTGTCTCCTCAGCCCAGGCAAATATTTTAAAGGATTGGTCCCCAGCATGACACTATTAGGAGGCTATGGAAGAAGTGGGGCATGCCCTTGAAGAGATAGTGGGATCCAGATCGCTTCTTCTCTCCTCCCCTGCCAGCTTCCTGGCCAAGTAGAGTGGTTTTACTCTGCCATGCACTCCCACCATGATGTACTGCCACAGGTCCAAAGCTAACAGAGCCAACTGACTATGGACTGAAATCTCTATTTCTTCTTTTCTCTCTCTCTTCCTTTCTTTCTTTTTTGATTGGGTTGGGGGGAGCAGGGCTGGGGATCCAATTCAGATGCTAGGCAACTGTTCTACCTCTAAACTATACCTCCAGCCTGGACTGAAACTTCCAACACTGTAAACCAAAATAAACCTTTCCTCTTTATAAGTTGATCATCTCAAGTATTTGTTATAATGATGGAGAGCTAATTATTATTATTATTATTATTATTTTTGGTAGTACTGGGGTTTGAACTCAGGGCCTTGTGGCTAGGCAGGTGCTCTACCACTTGAGTCATACCTCCAGTCCCCCCAAAAAAGTGTTTTTAAATTTAAAAACTAAAGCGGAGAGCTGGGTGTGGTGGTAGTACATACCTGTAATCTCAGCTCCTCAGAAGGCTGAGGCAAGAGTACAGTTTGAGACTAGCCTGGGAAACACCGTGAGGCCCAGTTTCAACCAAGCCAAACTGTCACTGAGTCACAGACTGTGGTCCTGATAACATTCTTAACTGTCAGTCTTTACGGCTGGTCCTTGGTTGAGAGGGACCATGAGGGTCACATATAGGTAACTCACTTTTCCTAGTCGGTCTGCAGCACTCTTCTTAGTCCACCCATTCTTTTACCTAGGTGTGCTGTGCATGACATTACTACAGTATAGCAAGCCGGGCCATGGATGGGGCAGCCTTCTTAGGGTTCATGCTTACCCAGTATGTTTTTCCATCTCCTTACTTCTACCCTTAGCTATCATGCTCTGGATGTGTCTTCTATAGACCATATGATCAAATTAAAGGGAAAAAGCAAACCTTACATTCTCATTTGAACAGGTGAGGCCTGCTGGATTGCACTGTTGAACTGCTGACAGAAGAGGAGTCATTTCTATCACTTCATTTTACAATGTGTCAGTCACTATCCTGGTTTCCCTCCAGCCTTTACTACTGACTTTTATTAAGTTGGCAAGACTTTCCCCCTTCTTTTTGCCTGCTGTAATCTATTTCTATTCTTTCAACAGTAACTCTTACATTTTTACGTTTACTGTGATGTAGTCTAAAGCTGATGAACTGATTTTTCCCTTAAGTAATGTACGGAGCTTTTTAGTTTCTTCTTTTATAGCCCCTATGTAAATGATTATCACCGGTTAACATGACCAATGCTTAGATTTCTTCACCTATTTACTAATTCCTTTGCTTTTTGAAGCCCATGCCTGTAGCTCAATTTCTACTTGTATAAAGAACATCCTCCAGTATCCTCCAAGAACCTTTGCACAGAAAACTATCAATCTGAGGATGAAAGTTCAGCCACATTTGCTCTGGCATAACTGCTGAATCAGGTGTTGATTCCAGTTTGCCACAGGCCCAACTTGCTGGCCACAGTCATCAGTTCAGTGTGAATTCCTTGGAAGGTGGTCTCTTTGCTCTGCTTGCATGGTAGATTCCTTTTTTTTGATTTTGAAGTTCTGAAAACTTTCAAAGATGTATCTAGCTGTGGATGCTAAACTCTGTACTTAAGACTTCTTGAGTTTTAAATATTTCATGAATTCTGGAAAATTCTGTCTTCATTTGTTCAAACACTGCCTCACCTCCATTCTTGCTATATGTTCCTTCTGAAATGTGTTCAGATGTGAGCTGGAACCTGCTTGATTGCTCTGCCACACTTCTTTTTCAGATAATAGTTCTCTCTTCAGAGTTCTGCTGCATCACCTACCTGTCCACTGTGTGTCAATGACCAAGGGTTTAATTTTGGTTAAGTTCTCTGTCCCAGTGTCCTCAGCAAAGCTAATGCTAAGAGTCCATAACGATGGTTCTTTTTTCAGGAGGCTGCCCCACATTAAAATTGCTCCACCCAAACACAGCTGTCCCGTCATAGTAGAAAGGGATGGACTAATTCAGGTAACACTCTTTCTTCTAGCTTAGATGGGAACATGGTCCAATGTGTCATTCAGGTTTTGATTCTAATTTGATGGGGGCATTGGGACTCTGTGCATGTGTGACAGGCGTCACTTATCATCCTGATGCATTTAAAAGACAACGACTTTTGTGCCTCGGGAGGATAACAATTTGTGAGAGACAACTCAGCTAAATGTGACTTACCTACAAGAATCCTGAACCTGTAATTATCATGTTGCTGATTTATTCCACTAAGTAACATACTTGAGAAAATGCTATAAGGTTTCTATTCTACTAACAGTAGATGAAGAAGTCTCAAAACTTGGTTATTACTCAACTACAGACAACTGATCCCTCTCAAATGTAACTCCGGTACAAATTCAAATTTCTCTGGACCCTACCACTTTTCATTCAGTTCTGGGAGATCACAACCAGTCCCCCAAATACTGGAGGCTAGATTTTCTACTCTGGAACAAGTCCACGGCACTTTTAAGTCCCTCCTACCCAGGACCACCAGGGGGCGGGCCTATTAGGGAGCCCTTTTAGAAAGTGAGCTGTTTCAGGTTCAGGTCTCATATCCAAGGGAGTAGGATTAGCTTTCAGTAATAAAACTAAATAAGGAATCCAAATGTAGATTCCAAAGAGTGAGCAGTTTGACTCCTCTTTTCTGAATAGGGAGAAATACTTACAGAATTTCAAGTTAACACATTTGAGTGAGCTTGCTTTTAAACCTGGACAAAAGTCTAACGAGCTTCTTAGTGTGTCACGTTATCGCCGATATATCATGGGCACTCAAAGTGAGCAGTGTGTGTGTGTGTGTTGGTGGGTTCCAAAATCTCTTAGCAAAACAGGGGAAGAGTTGAAAGGGAAACAATGTCAGGGCAGAGAACAACTGAAGAGAGCCCGCAAGTGGAAAAAACTCAAAAAGGTCAAGAGGACGGTTTACATAATTTATACGAGGACGGAGCGGGCCTGGACGTCGGGGCGGACATCTGCACAACCCCGCCTTCCCGCAGGGACAGACAGGATGCCTCCCCCAAAAAAAGTCTGTGCCTCCCGGAGCTTTTCTGAATCTATTCCTTACAAATGCTTGCTAAAGAAACAAAGGCGAGCGAGAATGTATGGCGCAGCGAATACGGTCTCCAAACTGGAAAGGAAGTCAACAAGCAAAAGACCCACGGCTCAACCACCGGAGCCGGCGGGATTCCACGCGCCGGCCGGTCAGCCCACGGAGCCCAGCGCTCGCTCGTTACGTAATGGTCCCTGCAGGGGCCTCGCGCGGCACTTCGTGGACCGGCTGCTGCCGGGACCCCGAGGGCTGTCCACCCCGGCCCTCGGGGCCTCCAGGACCTTCCGCGCTGCCCCGGGGCTCCGCCCACGCCGGGCCCGCCAACCCCCCGGCCGCCAGCTCCCGGGCCTGCCCGACGGCGCGGGCCGCACTCACTGTTGTACTGCACTCCCTTGGCGAAGCGCCTTTGCAGCGCCTGGTTCATGGACTGCAGCCCAGCGGGGATGTTCTTGTCCCGGCCCGGGGCTTGCTCCGATCCCACCAGCTTCTTTAGCGCCGAAAACATCTTCCGGCTGGACGTCCGAGCCACGCACGGCCCGCGAGCTCAGCGGCGACGGCGGCGCGGCGCGCCTCGCACCATGTCCCGGCAGCCCGGGCTCCCCCGAGGCCGGAATCGGCGCGGCCACAAACCGGGGTCCGTTGGCGGGCGCGGCCTCCAGCGGCCCTCGGGGGCTTTAACCGCGGCGGCTCCGCTCCGGCCCCCGCAGCCCCCGGCGCGGCCGCCGTCCGCCCGTCAGCGCCGCCATCTCGGCGCCGGCAGGGCTACGGCGCGCCGCGAGGGACGCGCAGGCGGCGCATGCGCGGCGGTTGCGCGAAGGCCCCGCCCCCTCGCATCCAGGCCCCGCCCCTCCCTGTCCTGCCTCTGCCTCCGGGTCTCCTCTCGCCCCGTAGTCCTGTAAAAATGTTTATTCGTGTAACAAAGCGCGAGCGTGGTTACTTCTTCTTCTTCTTTGACCCCTTGAGCTTCCCCTCGATCAGCTGCTGGCCCTGCTTCTTGATCTCGTCCCGCGACGGGACATAGCTCTGGTCCACGTCGGCAAACTGGAAGGTTTCTGCACAGGCGGGAGGGAGCAGCTGGCAAGCCGGTTGGTTCCCGTGCCCTCTAACCTCACCCCGATCGCAAACGCTGCAGTTTCCTATCCCCCGTGTCTGGGTGCTCTCCTGTGTGGTCTGGCTGCTGGGAAGCGGCTGTCCCCATTCCTGGCTCTTCCTTAGACAGGCACCGGGGCTCAGGGGCTCCCCGACTGACCCCTGGAGCCGGTTCCAGATCTGACTCCGAGAAGCCAACACTCCCCTGCTCTAAGTCACCGAGGGCCAGGTACAAGGTACTGCGGAATGGTTCACACTAGCTAGTCCCAAGCCACTCAGCCTGCCCTGGCTTGCAGTGGAAACCCTGCCAAAGACCCTGTTCTGGGCTCCCCTGTGTTTCCTGGCATAGTGTGCTCCTTCCTCTGGGAAAGGTAAGTAGTAAGTTTCTTCTATGGCTTTAGCACCTCCACGTCATCACTAAGTCACCTCTAAAACTCTTCTGGGTCCCTGTATCCCCCACTCTGTCTCCATGATGTCCTGGTCTGATGGAGTAGCTGCTATCCCCAGCCTCTGCCTCAACAGATCCCTACTTGATTCCAGCTGTAGCCCATGTCCCCTCCCCATGACTGGACGTCCAGGTCCTCATCCAGGGCCTCACCGATCATGTCGTCCTCTAGGTCCTCAAAGCTGATCCTAGTGTTATATCTCTCCTTCAGAGTGGATGACTCCAGGGTGTCCCTCACCTCCGTGTTGATCTGCAGGGTGTACCCTCGTCAGCTTGGAGGGGACACAGGCTATGAGGGTGCCCACCCTTGGCCCAGGGCTACCTCCTCAGTCAGGGACAGCATCTGCATGTGGTCAGCCAGGTAAGTGAGCTTCCCCTCACAGTATGCCAGCTTGCTGTACATATCGGGGATGTCAGGCAGTGCAGCTTCTTCCTGTAGGCCAGAGGAAGGTCTTATCTCCTCTCTGACCCTACCCAGGGATCCTGTATGGGGTACCTTCTCACCAGGGATGGTACCTGGGTGGCTGGCAAGGTGATGCCAACGAGTCGTACATAGAGATTGTCGATGCCCATCTGGATGGTCAGCAGCAGCTGCTGGCTCTTGGTCAGGTTTCTGTGGGCCAGCTGGAGCCTTGTTTCTTCCTCTTTCAGCATGTTCTTCATCTTCTTTTCGATGGACTTAAAACTATGGGGGGGAGACCCAGCAGTGAGGGTGGCACAGCACCCAGGGCCCATGGAGGGCAATGAGGCTAGATCTGAGCTGGGTCCTGAGCACCTACTTAGGAGCTTGGGAGTTCAGATGTGGACACCTGGGTCCAGGGCTCCTCTGCAGAGGCATAAACTGGTTGGCAGTGGATACGCTGCAGTTCCCTGCTGGTGCCCGAGGGGTAGTGTAGCAGCTCTGGAAGCTGCATACCTGACAGAGCTGGGCGTATGGTGGAACTTGAGTAGTGCCTGCTCAAGCTCCAGCTTCTTCATCAGGGCCTCCAGCTGTGTTCGCTGCCCCTCACAGTCGTCCATCTGCAGCTCCAGGTTCTCCTCTGTGTTCTTCTGAGCTAGGAAGCGGCCAGCAATGTCCTGGCCAGTTGAGAAAAGAGAGAAACAGGTGGGCCTGGAAGGTGTCAGGGCCTCTACAGCCCCAATTTTTCCTGAGCCACATACAGTGACTACTGCAGGGTTTCTATACTCAGGGCTCAGTCATGATGCTGACTGTTGCTGTGCACTGAAGGTTGTGAGGGCCAGCCATGGGGGCAGCACCCGTGTTTGTCATGACACACAGCCTCGTGACAGACAGAGAGTAATATTAACCCCACCTACAGCAAGGAGACCACAAGTTACCTTGAGTCACTCGTCTGACAATGGACAAGCTTGTGTCAGGGCCACGGATGGAAGCTCAAGGCCCAATAACAATAAAATCAGGTGGAATTAAAATAAAAGAGGGCTTGTGGGAGGCAGCTGCTTATTGTGGGTGGCTCTGTCAGGTTGAGAAGGGACCAGAATTGGAGGTGGAGGTCATGCCCTTAGCATTTGGATCCTTGGATTCTGGCAGGCTCTGTGATGTGCCCATGACAGAGATGAGATATGCTAGCTATGTTTTGGGAGTACCCTCTACTCTGGGCCATGTCTTGCAAGCCCAGATTTCCTTCTAGACCTGGGATCAGTATGTCTGGGGACATATAAAGGGGCTAAGCTTTCTGTGTCCTTTCCAGAGGGCCTGCAAGTCCTAGCCCAGCTCCTACCCTGCCCTGGGAATGCCAGGGAGCCTTACCCAGATGTGAGAGCACTGCACAGTGGACTTGACCTTCTCCACCAAGGCAGTCACTTTCGTCTGGTATTCCATATCCACTACAGAAGGGGCTCTTTTCTTCACTGGGCAGAGCAGAGGGGACAAGGGTAGTCTTCATGCAGAGATGGCCATTGGACACCTTTGTATATGACCAGTCATGGGGAATCTACTGCAGGATGCTGGGGGCCCCTCAGTGTCACTTGTACCTATACCTGCTCCCCTTGGCTGGGCTCTCCAGGGTGCCAGAGCAGATGAAGAGGAGTAGCGTGGCACCATGTGGCTCTGAGAAGTCACTGGGTGACTAGGCCCTGGGTGCCAGGGGACAGCATCTCTATAGCCACATCGGTCCACAGGCTCTCGGCCTCTGCAGGGGCATCTGGGGAAAGGCAGGGGGTGTCTGTCTCCCTGACTCTGGTGACCACAGGTTATAGTTGGTCTCATGATGACATGACTGGGTGGTCCCAGTTAGTGACAGACTCTGGAGACCCTGGCTGGGAGAAGGCAAGGAGCTGAGACTCACCCCTTGTGGTTTCAGTATTCATCAGATTGGAGGGGAAGTCCAAGTCCCTCTGGCCCTGATGGGAGAAAGAGGACCAGGCAAGGGTAAACTGACCTGCAGGGAATGGTCCTCCCAGCTGTTCCCATGCTGGGTTGGGGAGCTCCAGGGCCTGGCCTGAGACACACCCGGCAGGTACTTCTCACTGGTCTCCTTGGTGTGGATCTTGTCAATGAGTTTCTTCTGCTGGTTGAGCCGATCCTCCCGCGCCCTGCGCTTTGCAATGAAGGTTGCCTCCTCTTGTCTCGTGTTTTTCTGGGGATACAAGAATGCTGTCTCACCAAGGCAATGGTTGGTTTTCAGTCCTAATCTTACTAGACTGTGGGCTGATAGTTGAGGCTGTTGACTGTGCCTTTCTTCCTGCCGTGCTCATGCCTGTTGGCTCCCACTGTCCTGTCAGGGTGCCCCTTTGACTCTGCAGTACAGACATCCCTGGCTGGCACATGCCTGATGATTTCTCTCTCCAGTCCTGGCCCTCTGCTGCTCTTCAGGCCCCGGCCTCCAGCTGCCTCCTGACCCACTCCATTTAGAACCCATTAAAGTGGATTCAACATGTCTGAAAACAAATTCATCATCTCTTCTACAAACCTAGTCTCTTCTAGCACATCCTGCTTTGGTGACTGAAACCATCTTCCTTCCTCCTCTGCTTCTGTGTCCTGGATGCTGCTCTCTCCCTCACCACTCCCACTGCTAAAGCTCACCGGGGCAACCTCTTAAAGACTTTTCTGCTCTGTCTGCTCCTGGCCACCCTGACTCCAAAAACAGCCTGCTCAAGCAGCCACCATTTCTGCTCTGGCACCTTCCAATGCCTGCAGTCTGAGCATACCATTTTGAAGCACAGATCAGATATGTGCCCTCTGCCACTTCCCGTGCTCTGCCTTCCTTCCAGCCATAGGCTCTGTCTCTTCTCTTCCAGAGCTCTAGGTACCCTTGTGCTTTGCTGGACCATTCCTCAGAGCCACTCATGCACCACCTTCTTGGAAAGTTACCCTGGACCTCCTTGAGTAGGTCAGCACCCTTGACAGGCCCCCATAACACCATACATTTCTCTCCGCCACACTGCCCCGACGCTGTATGTTTCGTCAGACTCCTGGCTGAGCAACTTCACACTACTTCAGGACAGGGTGTGCCTGCCGCAGTCCTTGCTATGTGCCCTCAGCCTTGAAGGAGCCTTGGCACAGACCTCATCAATAGGTGACCTCAGTCCTGGACACATCCACTTCATGTGCCCAAAGGGACGCCTTCTGACCAGTGGGGGAGCAGAGTAGCTGATTGCTGGATTCCTCCAGGAACCGAAGGTGGTGTGGGCATGAGGTGTCCTGAAGGGCCCTGTACCAGACAGGTCCATGAGAACCAGCTATGGAGGGTCCCACAGCCCTGGGACCTGAATTCACCTTAACTTCATCCGTAATCATTATGGCATCTTGGGACATGACAGTCATATCGGACAGCTCGGAGCAGTAGTCGACCACCAGGTTCTGTAGCTTGTCCAGCTCTGTGGGGTATCCCGCCAGCACCTTTGGGGATGGGCAAAGGCAAGTGAGCACCTTTGGTGCCATTGCATTCCATGCCAGCTTCCCTGACTCCACCCTGGTTCTCTGGTGGCCCTACACAGAGTAGATGTGCGCACCCTCCACCCAGGCTATGTGAGTCCTGAGGACGGGGCTGGGGTCTTGTCTGTGGCCCCAGCCTCCAGTCAGATAGGGCAGGTGAAAGGAAGTGTTTCAGTAGGGCTAGTCAGTGCTGACCTTGGAACTCTCACTACCCAAGCCTGGCAGCCCAGAGACACTTTAAAAGAGATGTGATGAAAAAAGTGGTTTTCCCCAGGAAAGGCTGATTCCAAAACCCAGGAGGGTTTGCTTAGGGGAGCGTCTTTGGTCTGAAGTAGAGCAGAGAGGCTCAAAACATAGACTTGGGGTCAGAGAGTCAGGGCTCAAGGCCAGGACCACTTCTGACCAGCCAGCCCTGTGACCTTGGAAAGTTACTTAATCCCTTTGAATATCCCCATCTATAAAAAGGTGAAATTGAGGCTCTTTCAGAAGGTTGTTATAGAGATCAATGGAAAATCAAAGTGGCATATTTAGCTGGGCGCCAGTGGCTCACCCCTTAACCCTAGCTACTCAGGAGGAAGAGATCAGGAGGATTGTGGTTCAAAGCCAGCCCCTGGCAAATAGTTCAGGAAGCTTTATCTCAAAAATGCCTAACACATAAAAGGGCCGGTGGAGTGGGTGAAGTGGTAGAGCACCTGCCTAGCAAGTGTGAGGCTCTGAGTTCAAACCCTAGTATGCCCAAAAATAAACAAAGTGGCATATTTAGCACAGAGTGTCAATGTCCAAGGTAGCTTAGCTATTAGTATTTTGTTGTTAATAGCTACAAATGCCAAATCTTTGCCCATCTTTAAAAAAATGTAGATGACTATGGGATTTTTTAAGTGTGTATGTTCTGAAAAGAAGGTGCTACCAGAGGGACACAAAGCACCCAGGTGAAGGAGTGTGAGGAAAGAAAGGTGCACAGGGCCTCCAGGTGAGCCACCAGGGCCTGGCAAGAGGGACAGGTGGGAACATAGAGTGCCTGGGTAGGTGATGGGGGATGGGACCCCAGCAGGAAAGGACTGCAGTGCTTACCCATGCAGCTGCTATACTACTCCATCCTGCACACTGTCCTTCCTTAGGACCAGGGTGTTTGGAACTTTCTTGTTCACCTCCATGACCTCAGCTCCCATCCACCAGGCTGCTCTCAGCACCCCGACACCAGGGAGCCTCTCCTCCCACATCCGCTGTCTCCTGTAGGTTCTCTGCCATGTGGGAGGCTAAGGGACAGCACTCAGCTTCCTTGAAGGGAGTCCTGCCACAATGGGACTCACGGCCCCCAGGGGCTTCCAGGGGCCAGAATATGCTGGCTTCTTCCTGGCCCCCTCCACAGGGAGCAGGGTGGCCAGATTGGAAGGGGGCAGCAAGGTGTGTGTATATTATGGAAGATGCAAGAGGTGCCTGCTCTGCAGCGTGTTAGGGAATTTTCTGGTGATGTAGAGACCTTTGACCCCCAGAGGGGCCCATACTCAACCATGCAATATATGCAAGAAAGTCCCAATCTTAGTTGTTTTGTTTTTGTTGCTTTGAGACAGGGTCTCTCTATGTAGCCCAAGCTGGCCTCCAATTCACTATCCTCCTGTCTCAGACTGAGTGCTGGGATTACAAGTGTGCACTACTTCACCCAGTGTAAGTCCAAGTAGTTGTGATACACCTTACACCCCACACTGCTTTTTTGGAGTAGCAAAAATGAAGTTCTTAAAAGAATGTTTCCACATACTTCAGGGCCCTACTTGCTGGCAGCCTGGAGGAGAGCTCTGCCTGGGGGAAGCCCTGGCCTGGAGGCTATCTTCCCACTGAAAGTCCAGCCCCCAGACTGCCCCTCCCAGCCAGCTGGGTTCTCTGGGCCCCCAGGGTGAGGGGCTCACCTTCTTCAAGTAGTCCAGCAGGTCCAGGTACAGCAGGTGGATGTTCTGGCTGGTGGTGATCTTGACCATTGTCTTTTCAATGTTGTTCTCCAGCTGGCGGATGATCTGGGGCAGGCAGAGGGCTCAGAAAGAGTGCCTGGAGACAAACCTTACCTATGCCCGGGGACCCTACCCAGGAGTGTGTGGGACCATGTTCTTTCTCCTAAGGGTTTCAAGCTGCCCTAGTCTTTCCCCTCCCGCAGGGCCAGGCTCAGTCTCCTCCATTGGAGTCCCGACCCCTTCCTTGCCTCCCACTTTGGAGCCCCTGCCCTACTAACTGGGTCCCACGGATACAAAAGAACCCCACACAGCAGAGCTGCACCCCTGAGCTCCCCACTGCGGAGACCTGCCCCTCCAGAGGCCCCGCCCTTTCTGCTGGGTCTCATCCCTACCAAGGAGCCCCTCCCGCAGAGACCCGCCCTACAGAGGAGCCCCACCCACTCGAGGCCCCTCCTCTCCAGCGGAGCCCCTAGGCCCCGCGCACCTGCAGCTGCCGCATCTCCTGCTTGGTGGCGTCCGGCTTGCTCCGCAGGCTGTCCAGTTCCAGCTGCATGCTCTCCAGCTTCTGCCCGCGTCGCCGCACCAGGTGGATCAGCACGTTGTGCGCGTTCACGCGGTCGAAGACGTACTTGCGCAGCTTCTCCCTCGCCACCTGAGTCCCGGAGGGCACCCGCGCGTGGGTGCGCGAGAGTGCGCGGGGCCCAGGAGCTTGGTGGGACGGGGTCACGTGGCTGCCCCAAAGGAACCCTTGGGTGGGAACTTGCTCTGCCCTCCGCCGGCTCCGTACGGCCGTTTCGTGGGGGATGGACCGCGGAGATTGGGGCTGGGCGGGGCGAGGGAATCCACCCGGGTCCCGCCCGCCTCGTTACCTCCATGGTGTTGTGGCTATGCGCCAGCCTCATGGCCACGTCGTTCCCGCAGGCCTTGGAGATGGCCCAGAGATCGTACTGTGAGCGGCGGTGTCTGAGTCGGGTGCTCGGCCCCTTTGCGTCTCCCCCAGCCACCGATCCCTCCAGGCATTTCCCCAGGTCCTCTTCTACCTGTGCTACCAGAGCAAGACCCCTGCTCCTGGGGACACTGGAGCAGAGTGCTACAGGGCCCCGTCCGGGCTACCCCAGCCTAGGTATTACGGGGTCCGGAAAAGAGGACCAGGTTTTCCCTAGCTGGTCAGAGAGCCAAAGGGGCCCTGCTGCAGGACGTGAGTTTACAGTTGCCGAACTCTGGGTGGGTGGTGCG